TTAAATATTTTAATTAACATTTTGGCAACATGAATGTGGCAACATTGCATAAAATATTCTATGCTCAATCGTGTTGCTAAAAAGGTATAATGCTCAATCGTGCTTTACCGCTATATAGTATAAGAAAACCTTATACAATGGTTAAACTTACCTAATGGCTTTTGTACATTCTATTATAAGGTTCTTAAAAATATTTTAATCGTGTTTGTATAGTCGTGTGTGTGAAGTGTGACACGTGCCAAAATTGGATATTGATCGACGCCGCGACGGTAACGAGTTTAAATTTTCAAATAAAATTATATGCAATATAATTTAAGTGGTTATTACTTTATTAGACTATTGGAGTGGCGAGGGGGAGATATATTCGTCAGTAAATAATTTGTTTTTGTTTAACTGAATAGTTACTAAATAGTGCTTATCTATACTTATATTAATATAATCATTAATARCCAAATAGATACGTACTTTATTTTTTCACACCACTGTCACTGTTTCTATCATGGATAATATTTTCATTCTATGATAGGTAATCCATAATAAACTGTTCTCATGGACATAAATTGGTGTATGGCCGCGGCGTGAAYTTTGGAACCATAATTTGTTTACCWTTGTCTCATTATATGTATATAGTATATAGTTATTAGCCTTCCATTATATTTACAAACGCTCAAACAGGTTAGACTTGGTAGACCACCAATCCATAAAAGTCATAATACTAAAATAATATGAAAACCATATGTGTCTAGTACTCTAGTAGGTACCTAAAATATAATATTTGGGTGAATTTAAGTTCTTCTTCAAGACTTTGCAGGTAAAAAAAATACATAATAATGTTATTTCCTATACACGATAAAAAAAAAAGATACATTTGTATAAGTTCCTACACTGCGTATATTATTATATATAATTTATAAGTTTTCAATATTAGTTGTTATATATCATATGATATTGGTATACATTTTAATATAATAATAATAATTCACAATTGTAAAAAAAATATATAAGAAGGTACTGCATTCTACATAATAATATAATTTATATGTATGAAAATAAAATGTATAATAAAACTAATAATAGTATATTTTTATTTATGTATCTGCATTGGTGCAAATAGGTGGGGTCTTGGGGGGATTAAGTCCCCCCAGTTCAAAAGTCAGTAATTAGTACTGAGCATATATGATTTTTAGAAAATATTATAGGAGGAGCTTAGTCCTCCCAAAATAATTTGTCTATTTGCGCCTATGTGTATCTGTCTTCCACTATGTTAAAACTTACATATTAGGCATGTGCCTTATTTTATCGTATAGCCTTATAGGAATTAACGTACGTACCTGCATGCCATCCGCCGTTTAGGAACTAGCATATGTATCTTTTTTTTCGTGTAGAAACTAACATATCACATATTATGTAGGAATTAACGTATATTAACTATATTATGTAATTCTTTCCCTGTTACTCTTGTATAGGAACTTACGATTTCCCTAATATTTGTGGAGGTATACCTAATACTATACCAATACCATATACTATTGTATATTATTAGGAATATTATTTATGTGCATTGAACATATATGACAAAAACTATGTAAATTATGTAAGTTAGGTAACCCTCTCCCTTCAACTCCTAACATACACCAAAAACATGAATTTACTAATTTACTATGAATCTAAGATAAAAATAAATTGGCCTGCTTAAATATTTTAGAACCCTATCAAATAAAAAAAAACTCAAAAATCACTACTGCTAGTACTAAAGCTGTAAAACTCCGTCATCAAACATCCGGACGTGTTTTTAAATTCTTTTGTACATAGGAATTATAATATTATACAATGACATCAATGAACAATACATTTGTTTCGTAAACTAAATATTATACCTATCTGCCTATCTAAAATGTGAACTTTTTTTTAAAAATTAATAATAAAACGTTCCTAGCCTATGGCTACATCTATGGATATAATGAACATACATTTTTGGCTATTTTAAAATGATGGTTAAATATAAATAAAAAAATATTAGTAATTTAGCAAATGTAAACAGATAAACAGATGAGTGAACCAAGTATAAGGTAATTACATATGATTACAATAATTAATACAAAATTATATAAAACATAACCGTATACAGATAGAGACTGGAGGTTGAGTTTAACTATAATTAGGTCGTGGTGGCGGCCGTGTTTTAGACGTCGTTGAAGTGGTGGATGGATATGAAGATTGTAGTGAAGCGAGCCTGTTGAGTTGAGTAATGAGATATGGAAATTTCTTGATAAGGTGCGAATGAGGTCTGCAGTTTTAACAATTTGGGGGTCTTTATGTATATTATCATTACGAATGAACCACGGGGCATTTGTAATAATTCTTAACACTTTRTTTTGAAAAATTTGGATTTTTTTTAAGTGTCTAGCTGAATAGTTTCTCCAGATTGGGCATGCATAAGTAATTATTGGTAACAGTAATTGCTTGTATATTAGTATTGAACATTTTTTTTGAATGACTGATTTTTTGTTTGTTATTGGAAATATCATTGATAGACGTTGGTATGCTAGTTGTAGTTTTGATGATACTCGTATGTGAGGCCGCCAGGTCAGCCTCTTATCGAGAGTGACTCCCAGGTATTTGACTGACGGTTTCCAAGGTATGGGCTCGTTGTCGAATTTTAGAGGTAGTGGAGTAGAGTAACGACGGAGGCTGAAAATAATTGCCGTGCTTTTTGATGCGTTTATTTGCATCTTCCAGTTTTTACACCATGCTGTTAATACAATTAAGTGGCTTTGTAGGTTATGACTTATGAGTTAACGCTTCTATACTCCGGGATTCATTATAAATGGTTGGGCACATAAAATGTGGATGGGCACGGTTTTATAATTCATTGAAGATACCTATAACTGACAGTGTCCTAAGTAAATCTTTAGAAACAAGTAGGTATTATTTGACACTGCAACATAACGATTACCTATCACACAGCAAAATGATATGACAAACTTTGACCTTGTCCTTGTAATTTGTCATTGTCACTGTCACTGTCATTGTCTTTGTTATTGTCATTGATTAATACTATGAACTGGKGGAGATTACACACTATAGTCTGTATTGTGTATTCCAACACAATATTTTTTCAAATTTTATTTTGGCTTCCTAATATGCATTAGCCTGCGGGTGCCAATGCCCTTCATCTAAATTTTTTTTTTTAATTTAAATCTATTTAATTGTTGTGTCCTTGTCCTCTGACCTTGATCTTGACCTCTGACCTTGTCCTTTTTGACMTTGACCCCTGACTTTGACCTTRTCCTCTGACCCTGACCTTGTCATTTGACCTTGACCTTGCAATTTTGCCCTTGCCCTTTAACCTTGACCTCTGACCTCTGGTCTTGACCTTTGACCMCTGATATTTACCGTGTCCTTTGACCTTGACATCTCACCTTTTTTTCCAGTTTGAACCGCAATCCAAGGAGGGAAATTAGGTTTCCTCATTGCTGCYTCCTTGCCCRCATCATTTATTGAAACAAAATGCAATATATACAACAATAACAATCAAACAATAGTTACAATTAATAATACTTTGTACAAGACTTTGGGGGCCTCTAATCACCCTAAATTTTGGCTATTTGACCTACAAAAGTAGTCTTAACTAATTTTAAATTAAAAAAAAAAAAAATGCCGAGTTGCGATGACAGCWTAGCCTGCGACAAACTCCGCCTATTGTCTCTCCCTCTCCAATATTTCCTTCCGACCAATTATGCTCTCCACCATCTGCWTAAAGCTATCCCTCCTTCTCGTGGCTGTTTCAATGATTCTCCTCCTATGTCGTGGGTCTGGGGGTAAATCCGCTATTATCGGCCCACACAGCAAGTCAGGCACATCTTCGGGAAAGGCCTGCCCAGGGACTGTTGAAGCTCCAGTCTTCCACCTCTCCAGAATGGCATGCGAACAAGGTATGCTCAACGTCATCGTTATCCGCCAAACAAAGTGTGCAAGTAGGACTACGTGCCCTGCCGCTGGACCATAAGTATTTTTGAAAACACCCATGGCCCGTTAGGGTCTGGGCTAAGTGAAAGCTAATCTGGCGGGAACCGTAATACAACCACCTGGACAAATCGGGGATAATCCGTCTAGTCCATGACGCCTTAGAAGTAGACTCCYACAATGCTTGCCAGCTATGGATAATCTCGTCCATTTCTTCTCGTTTCGAGACTGTAGTGCCTAGTCTCTTAGCCACCGCTCTCTTCTTCCTGCCWACTGCTAGCAGTTGGGCCAGGGGCATCCTAGCCAGTACCAAGGAAGCCATGTCCGACACTGTACGTTAGCATCTAGCCACCCTTAGGYCAGCACACCTCTGCGATTGCTGGAGAAGATTTATGCTTTTCTTGGTGGTGATTACTCGCTCCGACCAAATTGTCGCGCCGTACAACAAACGCGTGTGGATGACACTCGACAGAAGGCAGCGCTTCGACTGCGAGGGGCCGCCGATTTTCGGCAAAAGCCTCCCTAGAGCAGTTGCTGCCTTTCTCGCCCCCATAACCACGGTGCTAATGTGCTCAACAAAAGATAACTTAGTGTCCAGTTGGACACCCAGATATCTAATGGCTCTTTTGACTTGGATCTGATGTCCTTGGATATACAGATTGGGTGGACGAAACGAAAGTTTCTTTGTTAAAACGACACACTCCGCTTTCTCTGGTGCCAGSTTGAGACCAATAGTTGTCATCCAGGCTMCTATATCGTCCAGAGCGGGGTTGACGAGTTATTCAACATGCCCCGCATCATGGGCAAATGCCACCACCGCCACATCGTCGGCAAAGGCGATCAACATAACGCCATCTCTTATTGGGAGTCTTAACATGTCGTCGTAAAAAAGATTCCACAATGTGGGGCCCAGGACAGATCCTTGCGGGACACCACATGTAACCGGTATAAAATGTATCTTCGGTGATTTCTAACTTCCTTGAATCCATGTACGATCTCATGACTTGCACTAGGTACTCAGGGACAGCGGATTTTCTCAGTGCCTCATCAATGAACCTCTACTGTGTTCCTGACGTCCAGGGTGATGAGGACACTCAAGTCTCTGTTTTGTACGGGGCCACTATTTGCACGGTCTGCCACCTTGATTACTTCCTCTATGGCATCAACGGTCGATCTCGACCTTCTGAAGCCGAACTGATGATCGCTTAATGCTCCAATCTGGGTGATATGAGTCTCCAGCCTGTTTAACAAAACCCTTTCGTACACCTCACCGGCTCCGTCTAACAGACTAATCGGACGATAACTGGATGGCAAGTCACGCGGTTTGCTCTGGCCTTTGTACAGTAGTACAAGTTTTTGGCGTGTTTCCACCGGGATGGGAATGACCTACTATCAAGGCACGCGTTATAGCAGTCTGTGAACTTTTCTGGGAACCTAACCTTTAGCCCTCCTTCTAATTTTTTTTTTAAATTTAAATCTATTAAATTGTTGTGTCCTTGTCCTTTGACCTTGACCTCTGACCTTGACCYTGACCCCTGACCTTGTCCTTTTTGACCTTGACCCCTGACTTAGATCTTGTCATTTGATCTTGACCTYTGACCTTGACCTTGCCTTTTGACCTTGACCTTTGACCTTGACCTCAGACCTTGTCAACTGGTCTTGACCTCGGACCTTGGCATTTKACCTTGTTTTTGTCCTTTTTGACCTTGTCCTTTGATATTGACCTCTGACCTTGACCTTTGACCTTGACATCTGACCTTGACCTTGTCCTTGTCCTTGTAATTTGTCATTGCCATTGTCACTGTCACTGTCATTGTCATTGATTAATACTATGAACTGGCGGAGATTACACACTAAAGTCTGTATTGTGTATTCCAACATAATAATTTTTTCAAATTTTATTTTGGCTTCTTAATATGCATTTGTCTGCTGGCATCAATACCATCCTTCTCAATTTTTTTTCATGATTTAATTCTTGTTTACTTTAWGAACTCAATTTTTACACCTTAAAAACCATATTCCCTTTAAATAATCACTCAACTATGAACTGTAACAAATGTGTAACAAATGCTTTCGCTAAGATTTTTAATAATCTTAATGTAAATGTTTTGAATTAAATCATGAGTTATGATACCAGTTTTTTAACTGATAACACTAAATTGATAAAGTAGCCAACGGGATCATGGGCCATGATTCATGGCCGCCACGTTTTTGTTTACATTGAAAGTGTCCCTTCTGATTTAATTTATTCTGTGGTATTAATTTATACATTATAGTTTTTTTTTGTTTGCTTCTTAAAATTTATTTAATATTCTTAATATTTATTAAATTTATTTAATATTCTTAATATTTATAATTAACCTATTTAATTGTCCTTGTCTTTGTCCTTTGACCTTGACATTTGACCTTAAACCGTTGACGTTGACCTTGTACTTGACCTTGACAGTTGACCTTGACCTTGTGATGAAACCATAATTAACCGACTTCAAATTGGCCACAAACACCTAACGAACGTCTACTTGATGGAGTAAAGACAAACTTCCATTATGTGGCACATCAGTGCGTCCTGATAACGGTCAGCCACATCATCACCGAATGTTACGAATTCAACCTAGATTGCAACCAATACCTTATTTTCGACAAAATTTATCAAGTATTAGTACTTAATCAAAGGGAGGATATGTTTTACAGAATTTAACTTGATTCTTAAATTTATTTTTCACCTGTATGTAATCTATTTGATAGCGGGCAATATCGCCTGGTATTTTCCATGTATATATTCTTCTCTTAGGATTTTGAAATCTGGTGTTTGTTATAATCATCCCATTATCGCTGCAGAACTCTATTACTTTTTCTGCTCTTGAACTTATCTTACCTACGCCGAAGTCTCCGACTACTCTACCTTCCCTGCCCTCGTCAACAACAGCATTAAAGTCTCCCATGATGATTACGTTATCGTATGGTTTAGTATGTTTCATTAGCTCAACTTTTTTCATAATTTAGTTCTTGTTAATTTTGTGTACACAATTTTTACACCTTCATAACCTTAATAATCACTCAACTATGAACTGTAGATTACACACTAAAAATTCATCAAATCAAATATGCAGTTGAATATGCCCTAAAATAAAATTATACATTCCTT